ACAGCGACACAGAAAGCAACACTGAACAGATACCGCTTTTCTGAGCTTGTTTAACTCCGACACTGAAGAGGAGGACTTCGATGGTTTCAGTGCGCCGGAGGACGATGAATGAGACATTTTGTTGGACCAGAAACTGTTAAAGAAAACTACCAAAATAAGGTCAGTTAAATGAACCYTATTCCTCCGAAACTTTAATTCTTAAAGGTTTGCTTTTTGTGTTTTGATGTTGAATTCACTTTTTTGATGACAAATTTGGGTGTACTGTTTTTTTTTTTTTGTTTTTTTATGTTGGGGGTGCGGCTTATAGTCCGAAAAATACGGGATGCATTTTGTCACTCAGATGGAATCTTGAAGCATTTCACCAGTCGAATGGAGCCTTTTATGTATTTGGTCAATTGGATGGATCTCTTTATATTTAAAAAAAAATTCAGGCTGGACTGGAAATAATTAGTTTTTTATTTTGGGTTGTTTTCTTGGCTTTGAACCCTGAGCAGAAAGATAAACACTTCATACTTATGTGATGGCACATCACAGGTTTTCCTAATATGGTGCAGCCCTAGCCTGCAGATTTCATTTGTTTTTTACATCACTGTACCTTTGCTGCCTGTGATGACAGGCACGTTGCGTGGACGGGACCGGCAATCAAAGATGATGGGTTTTTGAACCCAGGGAATGAGGAAGTGGGTCCCTTCACCAACAACCGAATCTTGTACGCCCCGGAACCTGTCAAATATAACAGCCTGGTGCCCTGCATCAACTGCAAAAAGAAAGAAAAAAAAAGGCCCCTTCAGTAGATATTTTAAATCTTTGTCTCTTTTTTAGTGTGGTGTTATCCTCACTAACCACCACAATACCGATGTTTAGGCTGAATAAACAGAATAAATTAAGTGATAAAGCTTGATATCTACTGAGTGTTTTAGCGGCACATCTGAAAACATGCTAACTACATCAATGACATGAGTTGCAATAAACATGTGTGACGACTGTGAGCAATTGGAATAATTTCAGTCCATCTAACAGCTAGATTAGGATTTTTTTGCATGCAGTTTTTAATCCTTTTGGAATCCTTGGTGATGCACGTTGAACAAACTAATTTGCAATATCATTAAATCTTTTAACAGCTGGGCAGCCATGAGCTGATGTGAGCGTTCTGCAGGTGTAGGTTTTGCAGTGAATGTAGTATTATCAGACTTTTCTCCAAATGTTGGATTTTTCACCCCCCCAGGAGTTTTTCCATCTGTTTTTCTTTAAATAAGACGTCACAAAGATGTTAATCTTTCATAACGTTTTTGATCGAACGAATTCTGCCTTTTCTCCTTGCAGTTTATTGGCGATGAAAATGTCGATCTACCTCATTGAGCTTCAAAACTCTTTATAAAAAGGTAGACAGCATAAAAATACAATATTATATCTAAATACAGGATGACTTCCATGACAATTTGATAATAAAAACATGTTTTGTGGAGCCCATTTGTAACAATGCTGTGGTGACAGTAAAACAGAAATATTGATAAATATATTTCCTATCTAGTTTTTGATCGCATTAAATTTTAAATCATACAGTTTTATTTAATTATTTAATAACGAATGTAGAGCATAGCATTTACCACTTTTCCTGAAATTTTCATTCAATTATCTCAAAAAAGTAATTCCATGACCAATCTAGACCAGTGGTTCCCAAACTTTTTATCTTGTGACCCAAAAAATATTCATGGCAAAAACTTGTGAC